ATTACGACAATTTTATAGTGGATTTTCATCATTAAATTGATTCGATTCACGTTTTGGCATAAGCAAATCTTTAATAGTAAATAATACATGTTAAGTAATATATATAAGTACAAAAGTAATATGTGTTTTTATATTATAGTTTGTATATAATTTATTTTAAGATAATGTATACTATATATATAATTTTTCTAATGACATTTTAATTATCACTTTTCCGGTGAGTAAAAACGTGAGTGGACAATTTTTAGGTGAACTTGTTTGTTTTTTTAGTTGAAATTAATAAATTTTTGGATTCTACTATATAAACTTTATATATAACACAACTAGTTATTTATTAGGTCAGTTCAAACAAACAGTTTGTTTACTTCTGGATAGTGTCTTAATACCTTCGTCAAGTTTCACATGTATTAGAGGGTGAAAGTATAATAATTTAATCAAAAATACACCAGATATATAGATCGTATATCTTGTGAAACCGTTAATGTTTTCATATAAGTAATATTTTTAATATTATGTACTATATATAGCCATGGCTGATAATCTCGGTTTATAAAATGTTTATAAAAGCCAGATCGGTTTATAAAATTTAAGATATGGACTTGTAACAATATACCAAAAATAAAATAATAAAAATATTTTTAAAACTCAGAGTTTATAAAAGTTAGAGAAAAATTAAAAAAATTTTCCCGAGACTAAGGTTAATTTTTGTCAAAATGCGTTCTGGTTGTAACAGAATGGATCGAATACTATATATAAATTGCACGCTTAAATCAGCTCAAAATAACTTCAAACTAAGAATTATATGCAACAGAAATTACAGAATTAAGACATCGGAATGGAATGTCTAAGTTGATGAAGAATATGTAGCGATCGGTATTGAAGATATATATATAAAATCTATAAACATATATGCTAATGCTTGTATAATTTCAATATCGATTGTTACATATTCCTCATCAACTTAGATATTCCATTCCGATGCCTACATTCTGTATATATATATAATCCAGTTTTAAATACGTAACAAAATCTTCAGCTCTCTATTTTCTGTGCTTATATATGATATGAGTCAGATATGAGCAGTGCGACGAGTGCAGTTGTAGATAGACATATAGCTTTTCAAAACATTCCTAAAACTAATTATGAAAAAGTTTTAAATTTCTAAATATTTCATAGAATATACATATACACATAAAATATTCGCTTTCTGAAACTAAAGAGTCATCTATTTTAGATGATGATCGTAATGTTTCAAAGCGCCAATTGCGTGACGATTGTTTCTTGCGTAATCCCTAATAAAAAGTCTAGTGGTGACAAATGCATAATTTTAGTGGCTTGGCGGCATTTTCTCAAGTTAGTTAGTAATCGTGTGGTTATGGCGATCAGAATCAACAGTTTGTCACATTTTTGAAATTTTTCAAAATGAGTGGGGCTTTTAAACCAAACACCTTATCATATAGTGATTTTTTGTGAATGGAGGAGTGTTCTTGCAGAAGTTAATTTTGGATTTCTGTTGCCCCCGATACGGCAATTTCGTTTGATATATCATCACTTAAGTTATTCAATGCAAAAATCACCACCATTTTTATAATTAGTTAAATTATAATTAATTAAACTCACATGTGATGCCTAGAATTATAGTTTTATCTGTTTTATGTTAACAAAACTATGCTGTCAAATCATGATCACGAAAATAACGCTTTACTTTTAAGATTAGATAAGTTTTAAATATATAGCAGATCACTGCGTCCAAAGTAGACGTACAACTCACACTGAACTAACAGAAGACATTTAACTTTTAAATGAAGGTTAGAACGTCCCTTGTTAAAGAGTTTATTATATTAGATTATGGCAAGAATTACGCTTCTAACTGTTTAAGATCATGCACAGTCGTATGTGGCTAGAAACCTCATCTCTTTCAAGCAAGGACATCAATCTGTCACCTAAGATAAATTCTTTCTGTGTAAATAGTAACGTAAATTATTTCATCAGATAACCCACCTTTAACTTGAGTTTTGTCCTACTGATGAGGTTTATATCTTTATACAAAACAGATTATACAACCCTGAGTTTTAGTTTTTAATCAATTATTTATCACCAATTGTGATAAATCTTTAGATATATTGTAATTTATTATAAATTATTATTATAATATAATTACAAAGATTTTAATACTATTTATTTACAAACAGTTATATATAATTTGTAAACTTATTTTTCTACTAAAAAATAAAATCTTTTTTATCAATCAAAATCTTCAAAATTGAGTACTCCACGTCTATGATAGAAAGGAAAGAGATCCTTCATAGCTTCGACGTATAAGGGATTCGTAAAAGTTCGCATTCGAAATTGTTCTCCAAATTCATCTGTTCGCATCAGTGAGTGTATATTACTGTCCTTATCGGTCGGTAATAGTACGGCAACCAGATGATTGTAGACAGCCATGAAAGCTAAAATTAAAGAGTTTAAATTTATAAATATATTTTTAAAAAACATTACTATTATTTACAATGGTATATATATGTATGTAGAAACGAATTTTGATTACTTTAAGTATATGTATATATATATTATATCTATATATATTATATATATATATATATACCTATAATTATTGTATAATACATGGAAATAAATACAAAAGTTATAGCGGTTTAATTTGACACAAGTGCGTACTGTTGATCGAAAATTTGAATATATTAGATTAAGAATCCAAATAGACTTAACCGAGAATTTTAACAGAAGAGAAATAAAAAATAAAGTCAATTTGTTTTTTATACAAGTCAATGAGAAGAAAACAAGTCTAACGCGTAATGAAATTTTGAATTAAATGGGAGCTCGAATTACTTCTCTCTCACATTATGAAGTTTCTAGTCAACTTAAGATTTAATATTATTAACATAAATATTTTGGAGACATTGTAATATATATATTTTTTATGTTAATAAATCTTCTATTGTTAAGCAGATTGAAAAATAATAGAAAAAAAATTATTTATATGATGAATTTACTCACCATAAAATGTAGAGTGTGCCTTGTAAGTTCCCATTTGTAAATCTCTTAATTTTGGTGGCGTGCCATTATACTTCAGAAGTTTTAAATTTTCTATTAAAAACTCATAATAGATTTCAATGAAATGATCGTATTCAGTTAAGCGAATGTCTTTAGCAGCTGATATGCTAATAAAGAAGACCAAATCTTCGGTTGGACAACCCCATTTACAAATTTGATAGTCCACAAAAAGTAATCGATCAATTGCGCCATCTGGTAAATAATTTAACATAATATTACTAGACCAAAAATCACCATGTGTAAGTACATTAAAGCCATTAACATCGATGTCCAAAGTAGCCATGCCACTTTTAGTAAATTGCTCAAAGGTGGGCTATGTTGTAAAGTAAAGTCAATTATTTCTATCTTGAAAGTAATCACTTATATAACAGTATTACGAGTATTACTTACTATTTTATCAATATAATTTTGAGCATTTTCTAAACCCCATTTTGCCATTGCTGCTTTATAAGTTGTAACTTTATTTGTGTACATAAACTCCATATCTTCATTTATCTTATCGGCATTAAAAAAACTGTACTGGAAATCTGTTGGATATGGTCCATGCTTCTGCGCATACACCGCGGAAACTGCATGTAATTCAGCTAATCTTTCTAATACACGTTTCATGTGTGCCATATCGAAACCTTTCAATCGATCTACATTCTGATAACCTCTTGGTTTCAGATCTTCAAATACTAGATTAATACGTTCATCTAAATTTTCTATAAAGAGACATTGTGGTGCCAGCTGCACCTTTTTTCCAGCTGCAACATAAAGTGCTTCAAATGCTGGTAAATATTTTTCATACATTATCTTTTCCTTGGGAAAGAGACTCATTCGATTTATTTCACGTCCGCCTTTATCTTCATCTAACATAGTTTTGAGCACATAACTCTTTTGTTTTGTAGTACCATCTATTATTTATAAGAAGTTAGAAATTATTAGGTTAAATGAAATATTCGTAAGTATTAGAAATTGATTTACCTTACCCTTTAATTCGAAGTCCACATAGAGTCTTATCATTACTGAGGTGAAGTTTTCACCGGGGGGTATCGCTGCTACGGGCGTAAATTTTAACACTTTAACATAATCAGGCACATCTTTCTCCCATAAAGCTTTGAAGTGTTCAGCGCAGATCCATTCTGGTATATTTAAATTTTCATTCGGATTTTTAATATCACCGTTTGTAGACATTGTAAATATTAATATTAGTAAATCTTTTGTAAAAACTATTGGTAATAATTTGTTGAGAACTTATCACAAAATTTTGTTAGTGTAGACCGTAAAGAAATTTCACTATCAAGAGCTACTTTGAAACTAATTTTAAATAATATTATTAGCATTTTTTATGCTTATCGGGAGCTTTCAAATATTATCTGATAAAATCTTGAAGAGCTGAATTGTAGTGTGGAGAGTAGTTCTCTTAGTTTCAAAAATATTATTTTCGTGAGAAAACTTTTAAAACTTTCAAGATTTTTTAAATATCTCAATTTTGTGTTAATAATTTTTTATAAATAAAATCTCGAGAGTAGTGTAGGAAATTTATTAGTTGAAAATAAAATAAAATAAAATAAAATATGTGTAGCTCTGAGATGTTTTCAGAAGATGCGAATAATACGTGTGCTTATTTTTCCAACAGATTAAACTTAAATTAAATAGATACTTTTTGCATATCACTTTTTAAACATACCAAACCTTTAATCTATTTCTATTTAATCTAAGATAGTTTACACCAGTTGTTTATCTTAATTAGCTTTTTAAAATATTAGTTTCATTTACAAAAAATTATATTTTCTAAGAATATTTTTGTAGTGTGAAATTATTCGCAACTCGTTTTTATTCATATTTTTAATTATTCGTTAATATTATTATAATTAATTTAATTTATACATATATTATATTTAATAGAATAATTTTTAAAACTATAAAAAATACAATCGTTAATATTATATACCCTTATATGCAAAAAATGGTATTAGTTGACACATTGCTTTGGCATAATGAGGGTTAGTAAAACTTTTATAACGTAAAATATCTCCTTCGTGTCCAGGTCTGAACATATTTTCAAAAGAAGACTGTTCACTCGTTGGCAACAACAAATTGCAAAGTGTAGTGTTTGCAGCAATAGGTCCTAGAAAAGTAAGAAACTTACTCTTTATTTTTAAAAGAAACTAAAGTCTCTCTTACCCCAAAATCCATATTTAAACATCATCTGTTGAATATCCATCAAAGTCGGCCAGGACTTCTCAGTTTCATATTTTAGAAGTTTTAAACATTCAATTAAATGTGCATGGTAAATAAATAAAAAATGATCAAATTCTCTTATTTTAATATCAAGTTCAGCTGATGTTATGATTAATTGCCACAAATCTTGAGCTGGTGAACCATAGTTGCAGTGTTGAAAGCCTATGAATATTGCCTCATCTATAACGCCACTCTCATTATAATTAAACAAAATATTTGTATTGAATAGTTGTCCGTGATTAAGCACATTAATTTCATTGGGATCCACATTATTTGAGTTCAAAACTGCTTCCATATAATCTTTAATTGTTGGCATTTTTTTTATAAAGTCTTCAACATGTGGTAAACCCCACTGGCGCATTGCATTTCGAAAATGTAATTGACGTTTCTCCGTTATTCTTTTTACCATACGTATGTTGGATGCATTACAGAAACTCTCCTGGTATAAATCAGGATATGGGCCTTCAGTTTCACAATAGACTGTTGTAGCTGCATGAAACTCAGCTAACTTCCGTAAAGCCCAACGCATGTGTAACATATCGAAACCTTTAAAGCGGTCTACGTTATGGAACTTTTTTCTGCTGAAATCTTCCAGAACTAAAACGGCATCTTCAGTCGATATAGCTGCATGCATAATGGAGCCAATTTAATATTTAGACCATTGATGGATGCGTACATTTTTGTTAATACTGGTATTATATGTAAGTACATATGTTTTTCCTTCAGAAAGGTGTTACTAGGCTGTAGTTCAGTAGACTCCTTTGTATTTAATAATTTATCGGATTTTAGTAGATAAGTTGTTTTAACTATGGTATTATCTAAAATTTTTATAATGTTTGTAGTTAAACTGGTTTGTTCAGTATAAAGTTTAGAGCGGGTATAGGTGAGAAATATGAATAGAGGTTATTAATAAATAAAGTGAAAAATGTGAAAAATATCAATTTTAATTTTTGATTGTTAAATTATTCGTTATATTCCATTTATGTTGAGTAGAAAAAAAAATTAAAAAGAGATAGAAATAAATGAGATAGAAATAAAAATATGATTCTTACCTGTTAATTTGACCTCTAAGAGAACTCGTATAAAATCAGATGCTACAGTTTTATCAGGTGTTTCAGTTGTGATTGGAATTATAGAACTTATTTCTTTAAAGTTTAAAACCTGTTTAAATGCCGGTTTAAAAAATTCTTTATTAAGCCATTGAGGTATTTTCGACAAATTATTAGCGTTTATTTCGGTGGTTGTAGTTGTGGTAGACGGCCTAGACATCTTCGTTTATTAAAATGTTACAATTGTTTTACAGCCTTGTGATAGTTAAATCAATAATACATTAATAAAACACTATGAATTTTTAGTTATGAAATGAACCGCTGAAATAAAGTTTGTTGTGTAAATAGTTGCTCTCAAACATTATTTTGATATTAAAATGAAATTCGTAAACTCATAACAATACTTTTATCGATATTGATAACAAAATTATCTATTAATTACAAATATTTAATATGTATGAAATAGAAAATTACTTTTAATTGATTATGTAGAATTAAATTTTTTATAGTATCAGCAGATAAAATTGGCTTATAACAGAAAACTCTCATGATATGAAAGATAACATTTTAATAATTAAATTACATGGGTCTTAGTACAATTTAAATAACTAATAACAGAATGTAATTGCTTAACAAATAGTAAATGAGTTTCAGTTTCAATTGCTATGTTATTGTTTTTCTTTTTAATTATTGCAAAATTTATTAAAAAAAATAGTTAATACTTTTTCAAACAAAAATACACTTAATTGAAAATAGAGTTTAACAGTTTTCTGTATATCTTATTAATATATTATGTTAAATGGATATTTAAAACTGGACACTTCGTTCAATAATGTGTGTGACTAACTAATTAAAACACATTTTTTTGCCAAAATTCGTTTTTATTCATCAACATAGTCCCCTTTTAGGGAGATACAATCATTCCAACGCTTTTGCAATCTTTCGATACCGCCTTTGTAAAACGATTTTTCTTTGCCTTCAAAATAGGCGTTAGTTTCGCCGATTACTTCATCATTTGAGCCAAATCTCTTACCACGGAGCATCTTTTTGAGGTATGCGAACAGCCAATAGTCGCTGGGGCCAGATCTGGAGAATACGGTGGGTGCGGCAGCAATTCGTAGCTCAATTCGTTCAATTTTGCCATCGTTTTCATCAACTTGTGACACGGTGCATTGTCTTGGTGGAACAAAACTGTTTTCTTCGCCATATGAGATTTCTTTGCAATTTCGTCTTTCAAACGCTCCAATAACGCTATATAATAGTCGCTGTTGATGGTCTTCCCCTTCTGGAGATAGTCGATGAATATTATTCCATGCGCATCCCAAAATACAGACGCCATAACCTTGCCAGCCAACTGCTGCGTCTTTGGTC